ATACTTAACAAATTAAATTAAAGATTGTTAAATCGTCAATAACAAATTTCTAACTAATAAGTCATAGATATTAAAAAATTTACAATATGAGAGTTACATTATTAAATCATAGATGAAAAATCACCAATTATTAACTATTAAACAAGACTCCAACTCACGAGGCAAAGACGTCCGCACTCTTTTTTCCCACCATCCAAGATGTCCTCACTCTTTATTTGTTTAATTTAGAATATTTTGTCCCATAAAGTAGGAGTCCCGAACAATGATCCCCAAATGACCTTCCCTTGTTATACACAATATCTTTACGATCAAATTTTGTCAACATCACCAAAAATAATAATAATAATAATAATAATAATAATAATCTAAATACATCAATTGCACTTAGTTATAGTTCAGTACGCTAAAAGGTCATCGGAGGAGTCGAAATACGAGAAGATATAACGAAATTGAGTTTTAGAATATATGCATTATGATTTGCACTAAAAACATCTCTTTTTGTACATTTCACATCAGATATTGATATTTGACAAGCAATAAACGATAATGATTATTCACAAGAAAGGTAACAATGAACTGTGTATGAGGATCTTATATACAGTTCCTATCTCAAGGCAAGGGGAAAATCTGAGGAATGTTCTCGATGTAGAATTCTTCTTCCATACCAACCTTTCGTTTGGATTGGGATAAAAATAGGGGGAAGAAAATAAGATGGAAAACTCTTTACTATTTTTTGAAATCATTCTTCCTAATTTTCTCTTCTTATTTTCTTTTCACTTTTCTCCCTCCACCCAAATAATATTCCATGATACTTGAAAGGAGAGGCAAATCAACAATAAAAAGAAGAAGGAAAGAAAATATTTCAACGAAAAACTTGAACCAAAGGTTTGGAATATATCAACAGAGCCACACACGCAAAGCCTACAGTTATAAATGAAATCAGAGTGGCACGTGGACCATTCTATTTTTCTACTCAGATCCCTTAATTTGCCAGCTTAGTGGTTCGCCGACGTTGATGCAAACTTCATCTACCAAAATGGTTGATAGGTGCTCGAGGAATGATTCTTTTCCTTGCTCATGGGATTAATTGTTTATTTACTAACCAGCCTCCACTTGGCTCCTCCGGAGTATAACCAAGTGTGTTTGTGTAAGATTTCAGAGACTAGAAAACACACCTTTGTTAACGATTTGACTCTCTATGGATGTGTCTTCACAATCAATACAGCATTCTTTTTGAGAGAGAAAGAGGAGAAATTTTGGGAGAGGAGGATTTTTTTTTTAATTAACTATGTTTTCAAAATGTGTAACCTTTCATGTATCACGATAGATATTTTAAGTAGTAGTTAGACAATTGCTTCCTCTCTGAGCTGCCACCAGCCCATAATTATTTAACAAAATAAATAATTAACCCAATACTAGATTAATTATTAGTTTGAGCTTGGGCTTCTCATTTTATGGTCTAATTCATCAAAGGTGGACCATATTCCAACAGTTTGGATGTGAATGTATTTGTTGACCAACTATGAGGGCTTGATTGGGGATTACTATGCTTTTATGAAAAAAAGAAAACAGCCGTTTAAATTATAACTGATAGTTTCTAATGCAAATTGAGTCCTAATAAAAAAATTTTAGAATAAAAATACCCTTTAATCTTTAATCTTGTATATTTTATTGACCCACTTTTAAGCTACAGGAGAAAAGATTAGTAGATTTGGACAAACATAAGAGCCGAGTCAAGAATTTTAAAATTAATAGAATTGGACATTCACAAAGATAAAGCCAAGAATTTCAATTAGAGAGATCGAAATCACAAAGCACATAATATAATTGAAAAATATATATATATATAACATAACATAAATATTTCAATATATATTCACATTTAGTTTTACAAATATAGGACAAAATAAATATGTATCTTCATTTTTAAATTTTGTTGATCAATTTTTCATAACATAAAAATCATCAATCATCACGCTTGTGGTAAAATGTTCAATACTCTCCTTCTCAATATAAAGTATTATTAAATTGGTGAAAATTCATCTTCCATCTTGTTGCGAATCCATGAATCAATGCTTTTTTTTTATATATTGATCTTTTACTCCTAAAAAATATGGATTGTAAAATATTAAAAGGAATAAAAAATTAGAAAAAATCATGACACAAATTGCATAATATATTAAATGTATGAGTTATTGTAAATCATAACACAAATTGTGCTATAAAATAATAAACAACAAGTGACTAATGTACATGGAGATTGAAGTGCCTTACATTAACATTATCCTATATATTCCTTAATTGATATATTGTCAAGGTCATGAGATTGAGATTGCGGCCTAGGTGGCCGATTCAACAAGAAGGAGATAAAAACAAAGAGAAAGGGAAGACCAAAGGCCAGAGCATGGAAGGATCGATTTATTGATTCATCAATTTAGCCAAGATTATCACTTCATTGATAGTGAGATAATGAGATTACTTGAATATTTGTTAATGGGGCGGTGACAATTCAAATTTTCACACGGAGCATAGTGTATGACACATAGTCCTCAATTCCAATGAGGAAACTTACCTAACATGACTTATTATATATATACATACATATAAAGAAAACATATCTTTTAGATGTTATTTTTTTTTCAACTTTTCATATAGTACTTTATATTTGGTAAAAAGAAAGTAGATACACGCAAATATATTTTGATGAGGCCAAAAATATATAACTCTTACTCCTTTCATTAAAAAATGTAAGGCATTTTTTGAGAGGTTGGATATTAAAAAATGTAAGGTATTTTTAGTCTTTTAAAGTGTAATCGTTGCTTTTTTTTTTTTAGAAGTATCCTTATTGAATAAATCACTTTATTTTTATTTTAGGATGAAACACTTTATTAAATAGGGATAAATATGAAAAGATAGAGTCATTTTGAAGACAAGTAACTACTATATTGGGGATAAAATTTGATTAAAAATGCCTTATATTTTTAAACGAAAGGAGTACATTTTATTAAAAAATCAGGGTGAATGAGTAAATTGACCGTTAAATTATATGTATAGAAGTGTCTGAGATTTTAAACTCACCTTTTGGGTCATTTTTTATAATTTTTATGTGCTTTTATGTCATTTTTTGGTTAACTAAAGATTAATGATAAGGATAAGACTCTACCATTTTTAAAAATTAAAAGAAAATATTGCACAAAAGATGAGTACAGGATATCAAACCCTTTAAAATTTATAATTTAAAGGTTAATTTGCTCATTTACCAAAAAAAAAAATATAAGTTAGCCCCTCGTCCACATGTCTTCTTTGGTATTGGACATACAGATAGAGATGGGAATCCAGGCAAGCCCATCCTTAAAGGTTCAAACCCTAAAGTCTGGTTACATAAAATTTGACCTAATTCTAAAGCTTGGCCCTCATTCAAAAGATTCAGGGTCAAGCCCGTAGGCCATCTTTTCCCAAAAAAAAAATCAACATTTTAAGTTAAATAAAATATTCTAACATTTAATATAAAACAAATCAAAGTCTTATATAAAATTTAACAAAATTTAATAATCTAAATTTTAAATGAAGATTAAAATCTTCATCAATGTAAATCTAAATTCTCCTTCTCCTTATCTAAAAATAGAATATTAGATCCTTCAAATGTAGGTCCATTTATTGAAGATGGAGGTGGAGGCTCAATGTCAATTATCTCTACAACTTCTTCTTCATTATCTACAATAAATATTAATCAAACTGTGTTATTATCAATCAAATATATGTATTAGATCCTTAGGGCATAAGCCGTGAGGCAAAGACAAGGAATGAGAGGTGTGAAGTTGACTGATTGAGGGTGTGAGGGAGAGACAAGTAAGGAAAAACATGAGACGATTGCTTAATTTGAGTTCTTCAATCTTTAGAAAGTTGAGTGAGTTGAGTATTCAACAAGGTTCCTTCTTCAAATGCAATGTTCGACAAAAAATTTAAAAAAATGATAATAAAATAATAGGGTTTGAAAGGACACACGGGTTTTAACCCTTTTTTATATGACTTATCAGGGTTAGGTTCTCAAGTTTGATTACTTTAAAAAAATTTAATTTTTAAAATTCAATCTCTTATTTAAATAAAGTCTCCAGGCCTGACTTTGATTCTCAACTTTACGTACGGAAGGGTCTAATACTCTCTTTTGTATGGACTGCCTCACAGCTTTTTATTCAAGAAAAAGAAAAAAGGAAGAAAAAAGGAGCCACCCTTGTCTTCTCAAAAAGAATAAAGACGGGCTTCGTTGAAGTACAAGACATTCAGACTCTTTTGGCTTCGCTTTTCCATTCTTTGATAGTTGTATTAAGATTGTAAGAATGAGATGCATCAGTATTCAGCAGAGTTGCATAATGACCTTTTATTTTCCGTGGCTTCACTTTTCATCCTTCCTGGAGATAGGATCCATTTCTTGGAATCAATAAAGGGGAAACAAAGGAGACAAAGCCAGCTCTGGCTTTCGAGAAAACTACCAGACAATACACGAGGCCAAGATAAATCCACGTCAGGACCATATTCTATTCATTTGTGCTTGTGATGCATTATGGGACGCATTCCTGGTCCAGAACGCCCTCATGGCAGAGGCACCGCGTTAAGAGAGAGAGAGAGAGAGAGAGAGAGAGAGCACGGCACTATTATTCGTAAGTTATTCAAGCTTCTTGCACCGGACATACTCGTGCGTGTGTCAGAAAAGGCTTTTCAGGTACAATTTTTATATATTTGGTATGGTACCTATGCGAGATCCAAATGATCAGATATTATTAAGCCGCAAAAATATACGAATGACATGTTTCTTTCTTACATTATTATTGAAAAAATTATGAGCATAATAATCAAAGTATGAACGATTGGATACAATAATTTTAGAGGATACTCGTATTTTCCTCGCTCTTCCACTCAGGGGTTTTGTTACTGTGTCATGTCCAGAAGAACATCCATCATCCGATTTTCACTGTTCTTCATTCGCTGAGGGCTCTCGTAACAATGTGAACGGCGTGGTCCTTGCTATTATCACCAAAAACATTTTAAGGATCGATCTTTCAATCTCTATCACTTAAACTACACATTCACCGTAACTGTAGCTTCAGGGAATATATTCTACTCTCACCACGTTCATCTGTGATCACTGTCAAATCAAAAGGAGAAGAAAACAACCACCAGAGTCTACAATTTTGGGGAAATCAGAGAAATAAAGACAGTGGAACTGTTAGTAATAGCCTCAACCCATCAACGCCGTTTCTATTTTCGATGGGCCTCCGCGGCGGTTACTACTAGCTTTGTGGCCTTGCTCTTTTTCTGCAGATATTTAGCGTATGAATACCACACTCCACCAGCTGTATTGATAACCAATCCAGTCACATTCAAAGCATGGACTTGAACGCCACCGAGTAACACAAAACCAAGTGTCTGTAGAAGCAATAGGAGCCAGATTCAACTTTTGCAAGTGAAAATACATGTCAATTTTAGAAAGGGAATTCATCCAGTCAAATATATCATGAAGAAAAGAAGAAACTGGGACATTGGATATATAATAAGATTCAGAAAATCATTCCAAAATAAAACTTTCGTGCTGTGCAGGAAGTTACCCATAAAATAAAATATTATAAAAAATAGACGCATTCTTGAGATTGTTCAAACTTACAGTGGAACCAACCCCTTTAAGGACGCCGACAATGGTTGTAGTCAGAGCTGAATTAACAACAGTACACAAGAACATGGTGTAGTTGAGAACAATGCCCACCACCAACGAGAGAATAAGGATCACCAAAAATGATAGAGAAGAACACTGCAAGAAGAATGTAGTTTACGTTAGATATCATCTTAAGCGTCAATACTGCCAACTGTAGGACCATGCTATGTCACAAATCATCCCACATTGCAACTCTGATTGAATTGCAATGAAAACAAACACGTTAAAGACTTCACCTTTGCAAATAATACAGATAAAGAATCTGGGAATTCTCCAGTAGCTATAATGAGAAACATCAAAAAGGGAAGAGACAAGAAGCTGTTATAGAACATGATTTCTATTGATGAAAGGCCATCCTCTGCACCAGATCTTTCCACCAGCACAAGGTACATGGTCTGAAAAAGCAAGTAATCTATGAGCAAAGCAAGAACAAATAGAGGCAGTGTCCACAATAAACATCAAATATCAGAGTTTCACCTGGAAAAACACAGAAAAGAAAGCCAAGCTATATCCAAAAAGGTCAAAGGAGAAATCTCCAAGGGCAGCTATGAGAACTCCAGCAGCAATCAAAATTACGGAAAGAGTCACCTGAAATTTGACAGAATGTAACATTATGCACAGTTAAGGGCTAAAGCCATCAAAGTTGGTAGTCAAATTAAAACTACAGCCAACATATTTAATACAGTTGACTTTGCATAAGGTTCTGTAATAGCCGTTTCACATGTTACACACCGGTGACTGCGAACCTAATAAATATCATGGACCCTTTTTTCAGCTCAAGAGAGGCAAAACAGGGGGAAGAAAAGAAGGATAAAAGTGGAAAACTAGAAATTAAATTTTGGTAGGAGGCACTCTAGGCTGATCATATGGATTTCAAGAGAATGACAGCCACAGATATTTGCATCAACTTGGATTTAGGTAAAACTTCTTTAGGCCATACAAAGTTTTAGTTCAATGATGGTTCTCATGTCAACATACGAGAAAGTAGTTATGCCACCAAGATCGTACGCAGTACAATAAACCACTAGAGGATCAAAATTTCTTGATGCACAATTCTCTTTTCATTGAAGTTCTGTTATCAATTATCCCTCAAGTGCTCCTTGAAAGCCACAGATACTTTCATATAGAGACTGGTTGAGCCTTTTGCACCTTGGATAATTGATATATTTTACTGTTTCTCATACACGGACCATCCAAATTCTCAAAAAAAGTATCTGAACATGATGAAAACTTGCCATGAGCACAAATATAACAAAGTATTTAATTATAAGATTCAATGTAACTGCGACCATTCAGCTTTGCAACTTTACTGGCCAAAAAAAAAGAAAAGAATAAATATTTTTATTTCAAGAGAAAATTTAATGATACACTGCTGTTTATCAGTAAATGTTAGCACACTATTTTCAGAAACCACTTTTTCCTAAATGCTTAGTCCACTAAGTTTGTCATTAACATCTTTTACAACATCAACACAATTTTCCTCCCCCCCCCCCCCAAAACAAGGGGCAACCACTTTGTGCAGCTTTCAACATACATAGAAAGCCCAGTTAGATTTTCCTAGAAGTTATAAAATGGCAATGTATCTAGTGTGCAACTGAACTCTAGAACTTAGACCTTTGAACAATTAGAAGGAAATAAATGTGGAATTCTTACCCTTTTCTTTATCCTCCTTCCCATTTATTACTCTCTTCTTGTTTAATTGTTTTTACAACATTCCTATCCTGGTTCATCTCTTGCCCCTATCAGAAATAACATGATAAAATTCATACTAGATAATAGTTCACTTTACACCAGGCCTTGTTCTTAACAATTTCTTTTTTTAGAAAAAAACAAACAATGAATGAAAACCTGTGTTGTAGGTCTCCTCTTTCCTGCGAAACATCCAGCTACCAGTACAGCAAGAGGTGTAAGTCTCTTTATGGCAATATACATTGGAATATTAACTCCTTTCAAGCTTGCCAGAGCAAAAGCAACATTTGCGTTGTAGAAAAGAGAAACTGGGAGAAGTTTCTTGGCCGTTGTCATATCTACCCCCCTTGCTTTTGTGTATCCCGTGCCCCGACCAAAGTGTACAAGTATGGCTGTAGCCAGTTGCTAAGAACAACAGATACTGTCCAACATAAGTCGCCAATAAATCAAAACAGTTAGCTGAACATTAACAGTCTTGATTGTGTTGCCTTTAACTTGTAATACCTGCAAAGTGAGTAGAGTCATTGATTGTGCATACTGCATGACGATTGCCTTGTTGATAAAAACCATGGCCATTGAGGCAAATCCATATGATACAGCGGCAAACAAACTGTGGAAACAAAAGGATGGTTATATGAAGCTGGATTTATCGTTTTTAAACTGCAATACAAGTTGATATTCTAAATCGCTCTTGGTGAATCAAAAGACTCGAGTCTCAAAGAAAACACAGAAACCTTTTTTTTTTTTTATCTTCTTTAACCTCCTTCAATTTTGTTAGAGGAAAGAGTATTGTTTACCAACTCGAACATTTAGAAGAAGCCGATACACATACTCATTGGAATTTATCACAGCAAACAATAGAGCGGCTTGTGCGTTACAATGCCATGTAATTTTTCTACGACCACAGGAATTAGGTTGTTCTTTTGAGAAAAACCGATAAGAATATAAGAGCACTGGATAGTAAAACAATCAATGAGTGCATGTTGAAAACCTCGTAAAGGAGCTCGTTTCTGCCTCGCTACGGCTGTCCATATCCGATTATGGGACCGAGATCTGATGAACAATGACCAATAGGAGGCCAAGTCAATAACAAGTGAAGCCCTGAAAATTAAAACAAATTCAACTCATTCAATCCATTACGGCAACGACAACAATCAATGCGATGCAATATAATATATGCGTATCAAGAAAACTCCAGTTTTACCTCACAGAAAGAAAGCATAAAACTCACCAGGCGAATATTAATTACATAAAGCCCAAATCTACACGAATGAATCGAAATCAGATTCGGGCATCAAATCTAAAACCCTTATCAAGAATAAAGAAGGTAGCACCAAAAAAGAAAGAAAGAAAGAAAGGCAATATGAAGGCAGTACCTGGTCGCTAAAAGCTAAAGTTTACATGATCGTCGTGGAAGGAAGAAGCGAGAGCAAAAATTGAATATCTGAGCGGATCAATGTATGTAACTGAATTACGGGCGTGGAAGGAGGGAGGACATAGCGAGAAGAGTGTGAAGTGAAGTTGGGGAATAGCAGACTTTGACAAAGGGGATTGATTGATAAAAAATTGGAAGAAAATAAAAAGGTAAAATACAAAAAATAAAAACAGATGCCGTTGGAACCGCTGTAGCCTGTAGCTATCGCCATCGCAATAATGCCATGTGCCGCTAGCGCGCTCCCGCCAGCTCCCCCGTTTCTGTGCAAGACGGGCGAATACTTTCGTGAGCTGTGAAAAGTGAAAAGTGCTTACGTTAAATCATAAAAAAGATGCATTAAATGAGCCATTGTTTCGCAAGTCTCAAATAAATTTGTTTGACTTACCCATATTATATATGTGTGTGTATAAATTTATCATGATTGTAATCTTTTTTTGACCACCTATCATGATTGTAATTCTAATTATGTTATAATTATAACTAGAGATAGGAATCGGCTGAATTAAATTTTAGCCAAATAGTGTTATACTTGTGTGGTGAGTCAAATACTTGAGCATAGCCTAAATTTTGTATCAGGCTTTTTTTACCGCTCAAATTTGATCTTGTTTGAAGTTTAGTCTGACTTGAAAACTTATTCAAAACACACTTTAAAGTAAATTTTTTAAATAGGCTCACATTTTAGTTTTAAACGTCTTAAATATACTTTACGACTATTACTATAAATAGATAACCTGATTTATCAATTAAAATATATAATAATTAAAAAGATTTACTAACTACAATACAATATAATAATAAAATAATAACATTAAAATCAATATATAAGTGTGATATGATTAAAAACATAACTAGAAAAACTATATTTATTAAAAATCAAATTATAAAACTAATGTATACGTGATATATTGCATTATACTCCCTTCAATCTTATCTATAAGACACTTTTTAAAAGTAATTTTTATCTAGAATATATGACATTTTGCAATAATTAAATTATTTTTTTTATTTTATCCCTTTTTGATTCATATAAAGATGTCTAATGTAGTTATAGTATTATTTAAAATCAATGATAACAATGAAAGTATATATTACTTTTTTATGATATAAAAAAATAATTATTTTTCACGATACGTAAAATGATTAAAAGTATTTTATAATAAGGATCAAAGAGTGTATGTATATGTGTGAATAGGCTGACCTATTAGATTTAAAAACTATACTTTAAAAAAATAAAACTGACTCATTTAACTAAACAAACTTAATTCAAGGCCCGAAACTGATCTAAATTTATTTACTAAATAAGACGAATTTGACCTACAATAGACTGGGACGTAATTCCCTGGCAAAGTAACAAGGGCCGTAAGGGGCTTTATTCACACCCCCGATTATAATTGTATACCACTGCACAAAAAGATTTGCAACTGCAGCTTTTTAATTTACAAATCCTTTTAAAACGGTTTTTTATCTAAAAAAATAAAGATTACAACTCACAAGTACAGCAACAACAAGAAGAAACTCTTATATTATTTATTAAGGTTTAAAAATATTGATAATTAAAAAGTTTCAATCAATAACTTTTATAAATATTTTTTTTTTACTTTTTTTGTCTCCCTTTGTAGAACTTAAAATTATTATTTTCACTCTCTTCGATGATGGCTCTCACTATCATTTTATATATATTTAAACTATTTCAAATAATTTTTTATTGATTTTGCTATTTTTAATTTTTTTTATAAACGTTCACTATCATTTTTAACATATACGCTTAATTCACAACTCGCAAGCACTCCGCGGATATTTTTTGTTTGAGGCTGCGGATTGCAACAATTGGCAGGGTTGCGGAGACATGGACGGCATTTTTGTCTAAATCATTCTCTCCCTCAGAAAGCCAAAGTTTCTTTGTTGTATTTTCCATAATGGAAATATATTTTGTAAATGTGAATTATAAGAACGGCTAAATTAACTTTACATTCTGCAATTAATCACTTTTCTCACAGTGTGGTTTTTGGACAACCCAACACGCGCTTAATATTTTTTATATAATTATTTGATAATTTGATTGATTATGTAATTAAATCATATTTAAGAATTGTATGGCGATCAGTCTCCTCAAATATTCACAAAAACTCAAACCCAAAATATTATACCTAGAGTCTTAGACAAACATATCTTCTTTCATAAGGATTAATTAACGTTAGTGGGTAACACTCACACGCGCTTGGTATTAATTTAATTTAATTAATTCAATTTAATGAAAGGCCCAAATACGGTAACTTGAAAGTTAGGCCACTATGGATTTAGTGATAAAATAAACCTAGCACCCCTACTATTGATGAGTTTATTAGTAGAGCCGGTACTTCAAGTAGATTGAGCTTATTCAAGTTGAATTCAATTTGAGTCGATTTATTTTAATCAAACTTAAGTATCATGCTCTCTTAAAAAAGCTCATATAATCAAACTCGATCATAACTTTTTTTAGCAAGATTTAGGCTTAGCTAAAACTACTAATTGTTTATACATATAGTGTTAAAAAACTTCAACAGTCTAGCTTATTTGGATTGGATTAAAGTATCATATTTTATCAAAAAAACTCATATAACTAAACCAGACCCTAACCTTTTTTAAATAGGTTCAAGTTGCCCATCGAACTTGACCCGAATTACCAACTCTATTTACTAGTATGATACAAGGCTTGAATATCTTGTGGATGAAGGAATTTCACTGTGTCAGTGAGAATATGATAATTATAATTATAATGATAAATTGTTATCATTATAATTATTGATTTAATTTTTTTTTTACATATTGAGAATATGATAGGATGAGAATGAATTTTTAAAAAATCATACAATTTAAATTGAGGTGTAAAATTATTTTCTACAAGAAAAAATTTAAACTAATACATATGAATATAATAATAAATTAGTTATTACTTCTCCTCATAAATTAAATAAAGAATTATTAAAAATCCCTCCCTCTCCTCTCCTCTCCTCTCCTCTCCTTCCTTTACCTCAAACAAAACCAAATAAAATAAAATTTAAAACTCTCCCCTCCAATCCCCTCCCTTCCCTTCCATCACTTTCCCTGCGCTGCCCTCCCCTTCCTTTTCCTAAAACTAAACACAACCTTAATTGCACTTGGCGTCAATGGGTTAATTGGGCTCAGTGGACTCTATAGCCCGGCCCGATCAGTAAGGGATAAGTAAAGCGGCCGGAGATTGTACTCATTTTGTTGGCCTTAAACCCTCGTCACTGGCCAAAACCCACCCCCTCCAAGCTGCCAGTGCGGGGCACCACCGTCCTCCCAAGTTCCGGAGCCAAATGAAGGCACCATGAGCATGATTCAGTTACAGCGGAACTTGTTCACAACAACCGCTTCTGCCGCTTCCTTTACTTTCTCTCCTCCTTCTTCATCGACGGCTTTGCCTCTCCGTCGCTTCCGCTTCATGGTGACATTCTCTTCTTCCACCTTTCTCTGTCTCACATTTGTTCTCATTAGTTATTCTTTTGCACATTTGGACCGTTTTTATACTATGGATAAGCATGAATGAAGATGAAACAAGCCTTAATTCTCACCGTTCAGTCAGTGGCATTGGCAATCCTGAAAATAATGGATAAAACTAACACACACACACGCACACACGTGTATATGTACGTGTGTGTGCATGGATGGATGGATGCATTTACTATGTATATTGTTATTATTTTCTCGCTCTATATATTGTGACAAGATATAGACATGGAAGTTACTTGTTTTGATTGTCAATACCTCGAAAGAATGATATTTGCTGTTTCTATTTGGATGCTAGCCACTGGTTTATACGCACTTCTATTCCAGCATATACACGTAAGCAATCCTGATAAGACGTGATAAAATATATAATGAATGACGCTGTTGTCTTCAGTTTAGCTGTATTTTATTAGATGTTGTGTGGACTGTAAATCAAGGGACTTGACTGTTTCCTCTTATGGGAACTGGAATGAGGTAGAGATCTAGCTCATTTTGTTTTCCTGGATCAATTCTCTGAGAGAAAATGATTTGTATTATTGATTCATGAATAGAATTTCTTGACTAAGTTCTGTGTTGCAGTATAATGTAGCTCTGCAGATGCATTTTTCATTTTGACAATGCATATTGGATTTTGGAAATAATATACTTTTGGATGTGAAATGGTGTTATAGTTGCAATTAAAGGTAATTCAGAACCCACCCAGATCACATTCAATATGGAGCGTTGCCAGCAGTACCAAATGCCAGAAGAGTTCCCAACTTAAATTTGGAAAGCCTAGGACAATTTCAGTCAAGTATACTAACATTGGACAAAGCTTTTGTCCTTCCAATGGCACACATGATGTTTTAAGGGGCACTGCTGTTAGTCCTGTATTTGCAAGACGGGGATTCTCTAAATCTTTGGAATCTCTGAATAATTTCAGCTTCCCATATTTGGGGAAAGGTTTTGGAAGGAGTTTACTGAATGATGGGATTTTCCCTAAGAGATATGTTTCTTATGTCCGGAAAGTGGAAACTAGAAATGATACTATAAAAGCTGTAGATGAAAAGCATGATAAGTCTTTGGCCTTCAAAAGTTCTAATAAACACAAGAAACGGGCAAAAACTTTCATTGCTTATGGCAAAAATAGAGATTTAACTTCTGATAGCTCTAGTTCTAAAGATGTCAATACGGTAACTTCAAGAAAAGGTTTAGGCAAAGACAAGGGGTTGTCAACATCAGCATCATCTGTTAATAATAAACAGGACTCTAAACTCACTGGAAGAAAGAAGTCAGGAATCAAAAAGAACAAGAATTCTGTTAACAATTCACCGGAAGAGGTTGCTTGTGCACAGGATTCTATAAATTCTTCTGAAGTAAATACATCTCATCCTTCGGACATGGGCCAGAGCTCCTCACCTGTTTCAAAGGTCAGTAAATTATTATTTGTAGTAGGGAAATAATGCTTTTTAACATTTACCATTGAAGCATTCTTACTAATGCAGCTGCTTCACAGAAGAATTCAACAAAGACTGCATCAGAAGAAGTGCTTGATAAACCTGCTTCTAAGAAGAAATTGTCAAAGAAAAAAATTGGGAGTTCCAGTGAGAAAGGGAAATTTGTGAAGGCTACAAATGAG